AGACACATCCCTTGTCTGTTACTGGAGAATGTCCCAGAATTCCCGGCACCGCTCACCTCTCCTGTCAGCATCTCCATCATCTTCTTGGTGACTTCTAGAATGTTGTGTCTCTCAGGGTTTAGGGAGTCACATGGAGGCACTGTGATGGTAATGGGGTCACCAAACTTTACAGGAGGACATCTCTGAAAGAACAAATAATATTATAAGAATCCTCCTCACCTCTCCGGTCAGGTCTGTGTTTTATTAATGGAGATGAGAGTGATGTCATGTGACCTCCCAGAATCCTCCTCACCTCTCCGGTCAGGTCTGTGTTTTATTAATAGAGATGAGAGTGATGTCATGTGACCTCCCAGAATCCTCCTCACCTCTCCAGTCAGGTCTGTGTTTTATTAACAGAGATCAGAGTGACGTCATGTGACCTCCCAGAATCCTCCTCACCTCTCCAGTCAGGTCTGTGTTTTATTAATAGAGAGTGATGTCATGCGACCTCCCAGAATCCTCTTCACCTCTCCAGTCAGGTCTGTGTGATGTCATGTGACCTCCCAGAATCCTCCTCACCTATCCAGTCAGGTATGCGTGATGTCATGTGACCTCCCAGAATCCTCCTCACCTCTCCGGTCAGGTCTGTTTTTTTATTAATAGAGATGAGAGTGATGTCATGTGACCTCCCAGAATCCTCCTCACCTCTCCAGTCAGCAGGTAGATGATCTCCAGGGTGAAGTTTAGCATCTTCTCAGTCATGTGACTCTGGTCCTCCTCCATTTTTGATGTGGTCTACATAGGAAATTCCAGTTGGTAGATGGATATCGGCCTCAGAAATATCTGGACTGTACTGGGATGATTCATGTCTGCCAGAGTCCCTCTACAGTTCCGACACCTTGGACCTCGTCTTCTATTATCGTCCCCATTTCTTTAATGTACAGTTGGATAAATGGCTCCATATATAGACTGCACCTAACTAGTTTTCTGTATCATCATCTGCTGGAGATAAAAGACGTCACAGTGACGGTGGAGGATGGACACGATGGTGGTGGAAGAGGACGGACGGGACGGTGGTGGAAGAGGACGGACGGGACGGTGGTGGAAGAGGACGGACGGGACGGTGGTGGAAGAGGACGGACGGGACGGTGGAGGAAGAGAGGACGGACGGGACGGTGGAGGAAGAGGACGGACGGGACGGTGGAGGAAGAGGACGGACGGGACGGTGGAGGAAGAGGACGGACGGGACGGTGGAGGAAGAGGACGGACGGGACGGTGGAGGAAGAGGACGGACGGGACGGTGGTGGAAGAGGACGGACGGGACGGTGGTGGAAGAGGACGGACGGGACGGTGGTGGAAGAGGACGGAAGGGACGGTGGTGGAAGAGGACGGAAGGGACGGTGGAGGAAGAGGACGGACGGGACGGTGGAGGAAGAGGACAGAAAGGACGGTGGAGGAAGAGGACGGACATGACGATGGCGGGAAGAGGACGAACGCGACGGTGGAGGAAGAGGACGGATGTGACGATGGAGGAAGAGGACCGACGTGGCGGTGGAGGAAGAGGACGGACGCGACAATGGAGGAAGAGGACAGAATTGACGGTGGAGGAAGAGGACGGAATTGACGGTGGAGGAAGAGGACGGAAATGACAGGGGGGTTACTGGGTGTAAATATATAATAAGTTCTCATTACCTCCTCTGCTGCCACTTCCACCACTGTCTCCTCTCTACTTCCTCCACACTCCCCTCAGGGAACTTGCTATTTATACCTGACATCACTTCCTGTCCGTCCCTGACATCACTTCCTGTCCATAGACTGTTTCTGCCTCCTCCTGGAAGGATAGAGGAATTGCAGTGTTGGAGGCTCTGGATCAGTCAAGAAGGGGAAATGTGTGGGATGATTGGACAGTCCCAGTCCCTGCTCTGTTGATGAGTATATGCAGCTGATAGGGGAGTGAAGTATGGAGGAGTACATGCGGCTGCTTGGGGAGTGAAGGGCGGATGACTACGTGCGGCTGGTTTGGGAGTGAAGTGTGGAGGAGTATGTACGGCCGGTCGGGAAGTGAAGGGGGATGAGTACGTGCGGCTGCTTGGGGAATGAAGGGCGGATGAGTATGTGCGGCTGCTTGGGGAATGAAGGGCGGATGAGTACGTGCGGCTGGTGGTGAAGTGAAGGGCGGAGGAGTACGTGCGGCCGGTTGGGGGAGTGAAGGGCGGAGGAGTACGTGCGGCCGGTGGGGGAGTGAAGGGCGGAGGAGTACGTGCGGCCGGTTGGGGGAGTGAAGGGCGGAGGAGTACGTGCGGCCGGTTGGGGGAGTGAAGGGCGGAGGAGTACGTGCGGCCAGTTGGGGAGCGAAGGGCGGAGGAGTACGTTGGGCCGGTTGGGGAGTAAAGGGCAGAGGAGTACGTGCAGCCGGTTGGGGAGTGATGGGCGGAGGAGTACGTGCGGCTAGTTGGGGAGATGAGTACATGCGGCTGGTGGGACTATCCCGGCCAATCGGGGACAGCTAATCACTGATAGTCAGGAAGCCAGCCATCCCTCCGCAGTCCACCATCAAATCAATAAACTTATTCAGACCATTGGAGGGGAAGAGCTTTATAATACAACGGATGTATACACAACATTTTTTTTTTTCATGTGAAACATTTCCCACACATTTTTTTTTTTTTTACGCCAGCTTGGCATTATTCCAATGTAGCATTACATGTTTTTTTTTTTCCCCTCGTGAAATATTAAGTGGGATTTTTTTGTTCCATTTGAAACACTTCCCACACGTCCTTCAGTCATGGCAGAGTTCTGATTTAGAATTAGATGGGGGGGGGGCGGGGTTTCTTCCCATGCAAAATGTTTCCTGCACATCTTTCTGCAAGGATGGAAAAATTCTAAATGTAGATGAATCCCCCATGAAACATTTCCCACAATTCTGCCAGCATGTTTTTTTTTGCCATGTGAAACATTTCCCGCACATCTTTCCAACATTTGAAATAAATACAGAGGTTTTCCTTACATGTGAAAAATATTTGCTGCACTCAATTTCCCGCACCGGGAGCGGGAAAAGATCTTGTTGCGGGTGCGGACTCTTTGGTGTCTGACAAGTTTGGATTTTCTTTTAAAGGATTTATCCCATCTTGAACAAGATGAAGAACTTTATTCAAATGCTAGGTGAAGCTTTTTTCCGCATTCTAAGTAAACCTTTTCAGATGGAACCTTTCCCGCACTCTGTATTCGCATGGCCGTGACTAATCCATCTGTGTGTGTTGGTATGCAATAAGAGCATGCTCCACCATGAAAGTTTCCCCTCTCTCTGCACAGGCGTACAACCTTCGGTCCGCATGCGTCTTCTGGTGCGCGGTGAGATTGTTTTTCCTCGTGTAACACTTCCCGCACTCTGAACATGCAAAAGTCTCCCCCGTGTGAACCCTGAGGTGGCTCGTCAGATGAGTTTTCCGCTTAAACCGCTGGCCGCACTCCGAGCAGTCATATGGCCTCTCGTCTCTGTGACTTGTCTGATGCATGGCGAGGTCGACTTTCTCTCTGAAAACTTTCCCGCACTCGGAGCACGAGCACAGACTCACACCGGTGTGCCGCCTTTCGTGTTTCAGCAGGCCGAACTTCCACGTGAAAGATTTGCCGCACTCCGAGCACGAATAAGGGCGCACCCCACTGTGCTGTTGCTGATGTCTAAGGAGAACAGATTTTGATGTGAAACATTTCCCGCATTGCAGGCATGGGAAGGGGCGCTCCCCGCTGTGGTTTCTCTGGTGTAAAGCAAAACGGGACCTCATGCTAAAACATTTATTGCATAGAGAACATCGATATCCAACGTTGTGAGGTTCCTCAGGACAACACGGATCTGGGGGTAGGTCCACCAAGGGAGGGAACGTTGGGTTGATCAGATGTAGTTTTTCGGAAGACTCTTCGCTATCTGATGATTGGTCTCCACTGGAAGGTCTTTGGTGAGAATTCTGAGCGATGGGACTTTCTGCGTGAGGATCTTGTGCCGTGACAATATCTTCTGTCTTATAATCTGAGGGTAAAGCGAGAAGTCCTGAGGAATCCGAAACATCCGGCAAATCTGACAGGAGAAAAACAGTTTTAGGGTGGTGTTAGACACATGATGTTATATTGAGGAATGGAGATGGACCTTTCATATGGTGTCCAGTATCTCCTCCTCATTTGTTGGGACCATGACGTTATATTGAGGAATGGAGATGGACCTTTCATATGGTGTCCAGTATCTCCTCATTTGTTGGGAACATGACGTTATATTGAGGAATGGAGATGGACCTTTCATATGGTGTCCAGTATCTCCTCCTCATTTGTTGGGACCATGACGTTATATTGAGGAATGGAGATGGACCTTTCATATGGTGTCCAGTATCTCCTCCTCATTTGTTGGGAACATGACGTTATATTGAGGAATGGAGATGACCTTCCATATAGTGTCCAGTATCTCCTCATTTGTCGGGAACATGACGTTTTATTGAGGAATGGAGATGGGCCTTCCATATGGTGTTCAGTATCTCCTCATTTGTTGGGAACATGACGCTATATTGAGGAATGGAGATGGACCTTTCATATGGTGTCCAGTATCTCCTCATTAGTCGGGAACGTGACGTTATATTGGGGAATGGAGATGGACCTTCCATATGGTGTCCAGTATCTCCTCATTTGTTGGGAACATGACGTTATATTGAGGAATGGAGATGGACCTTTAATATGGTGTCCAGTATCTCCCCATTTGTTGGGAACATGACGTTATATCGAGGAATGGAGATGGACCTTTCATATGGTGTCTAGTAATTCCTCATTTGTTGGGAACGTGACGTTTTATTGAGGAATGGAGATGGGGGATCTAGGTGAAGCCTCCATACTGCTCTCTCCTTTCCAATAAAGTCTCCTCTTACCCAGTGATGTGAGGGGCAGCTGATTGTCCATCATGATGTCCTTGTAGAGGTCCTTGTGTCCTTCTAAATACTCCCACTCCTCCATGGAGAAATAGACAGTGACATCCTGACACCTTATAGGAACCTGACACACACACAATGATACAGTCACCATCCAGACACATCCCTTGTCTGTTACTGGAGAATGTCCCAGAATTCCCGGCACCGCTCACCTCTCCTGTCAGCAGCTCCATCATCTTCTTGGTGACTTCTAGAACCTTCAGCATTGGATCTCTCAGGTATCAGGTAGTGAGGTGTAGATGTTGTGATGTCAGGGGGTCCACTGAGAAGGCTGTTGGGTGCCCACTGTTCACTAGAAGTCTTCCTTACCACTTCAAAGTCCTAGGTAAAAAAAAGAAAATATCAGTGATCACTACAGACCTCCCAGAATCCTCCTCACCTCTCCGGTCAGGTCTGTGTTTTATTAATAGAGATGAGAGTGATGTCATGTGACCTCCCAGAATCCTCCTCACCTCTCTGGTCAGGTCTATGTTTTATTAATAGAGATGAGAGTGATGTCATGTGACCTCCCAGAATCCTCCTCTCCTCTCCGGTCAGTTCTGTGTTTTATTAATAGAGATGAGAGTGATGTCATGTGACCTCCCAGAATCCTCCTCACCTCTCCGGTCAGGTCTGTGTTTTATTAATAGAGATGAGAGTGATGTCATGTGACCTCCCAGAATCCTCCTCACCTCTCCGGTCAGGTCTGTGTTTTATTAACAGAGAAAAGAGTGATGTCATGTTACCTCCCAGAATCCTCCTCACCTCTCCGGTCAGCAGGTAGATGATCTCCAGGGTGAGGTTTAGTATCCTCTTGGTCAGGTGACTCCGCCTCTCCTGGTCAGGATGACTTCCTGTGTCAGTAATGAGTGTCATTGCTTGCTGCCTGGTGGAGGTGCTGGAAGGGGACAGTCCGGTTCTGCAGGACAAAGCGGTGGTATTAATGCCCGGAGCTCCACTTTAAGGCGACACCAAATCCATCAGCATGTGTTCACTTCTATATAACAAGGTGCCTGATAACAGAAGAGAGCACAGTGATGGTGGAGGGAAGAGAACGGACGGGACAGTGGAGGGAAGAGGACGGGCGCGACGGTGGAGGGAAGAGGATGGACGGGACGGTGGAGGGAAGAGGACGGGCGCGACGGTGGAGGAAAGAGGACGGGCACGGCGGTGGAGGGAAGAGGACTGAGGTGACGGGTAGAGGACGGACGTGACGGTGGATGAGGACGGACATGACGATGGAGGATGAGGACAGACATGACGGGGGTTTACTGGGTGTAAATATAAAATCAGATCTTATTACCTCCTCTACTGCCACTTCCACCAATGTCTCCTCTCTACTTCTGCCCGACTCACCTCTCACCCGGAACTTCCTATTTATACCTGACATCACTTCCTGTCTACACAAGGCAGTGTATGCGGTCGCCTTCTTCTGGTGAGAGAGAAGTGCAGTGTTCTAGAAATAGATGGATCCATGACAATGGATGTGTGCAGCTAGAAGGAACAATGGAAGTATGAGTATGTGTAGCTGGATGGAGCAATGGGGAAAAAATATGTTGAGTACGTGCGACTGGTGGGGGAGTGAAGGGTGGATGAGTACAGAATTGTCAGCTCTCGGTACATGAGGCCAGGCATTGTGGTACACCAGGTAGAACCCAGAACCCGCCACACCAGGAGGAACCCAGGACCCACCGCACCAGGAGGAACCCAGGACCCGCCACACCAGGAGGAACCCAGGACCCACCGCACCAGGAGGGACCCAGGACCCACTGCACCAGGAGGAACCCAGGACCCCCTGCACCAGCGTAGGGTCTGACAATGGATCCAAGGATTTCATCCCGATACGTATTGGCTGTCAGGGTGCCTATGTCTAGCCTGTAGAGATCTGTGTGTCCCTCTATGGATATGCCTCCCCAGACCATCACTGACCCACCACCAAAACAGTCATGCTGAACCATGTTACAGGCAGCAGAACGTTCTCCACGGCTTCTCCAGACCCTTTCACGTCTGTCACATGTGCTCAGGGTGAACCTGCTCTCATCTATGAAAAGCACAGGGCACCAGTGGTGGCCCTGCCAATTCTGGGGTTCAATGGCAAATGCCAATCCAGCTCTATGGTGCCAGGCAGTGAGCACAGGGCCCACTAGAGGACGTCTGTGTAGCAATTGTATGTACAGAGATGGATGTGGTCATCCATCTTGCTCCAGACCCTCCATCTTGTATCTCTCTCTCCCGCCAATCCCCCTGCTCAGGAATGTGGTCTGTGTGTGTATGCTGAGTTCAAAAGTCATCAGGACCAGCTGGAGAGCTTCATGGTTATAAATCCCAAATTAGCTAGTGCCCGGGTGTCTGTTAGGTTCTCAATCTGAGATAATCTTAAAGCCATAAACCAGTCCTTCCCTGGGCTGCAAAGACATTCCAGCTAGCCGTAAAACAGACCTCACATTTAAAACCCACTTTTCCATATAATTTTATATCTTAAGATAGAAAATAATTACATAAAAAAGCATATATTCGGATAGCTCAGTTTAATGCGAGTCGCCTGATATCTTACACCCCTAGTGGAAGTCTACAGGAGAGCAGAAAGCCATATTGTTCTAGCTGTAATAGTGAACTATGCCATATTTGATATTTAGATGTTCAGCAGATGATTCTGCATTTTAATCTAATAGTGGCTAGGCTGCTACATGTCCCTAGGGAAGGTTATTGACCATGATATAAACTGGAGTGATTTGGTCATAGCCTGAATTCCCCAATTACACACCCCTCCCCAAATGAGATGATTGGTTCTCTGCTGTAAGGAGACACCCTGCTGAGTTCCTAGAAAAAGGCTTTTATGCTTGGAGCAGTAAGTTGAAGAATTTTCCCTTTTAACATCGGAACCAACTTGGGAGTCGGTACCCGTACTCTAAAACTTGTTCTGCTTAACCCAGGACTTCTGGCAAGTACTCTACCTCTCTAAACTTCTTTCTGTTATCTGTGCTGTGTTATTGCTCTCTGTATTTATATATATATATATATATATATATATATGGCTACATCTTTTTCTGTAAATATTATTATTGCACCATTTTGACCATTTTAGTAATAAATCATATTATATGAAAACTGTTGAACTGTTTCTAAAGCTCTTTAATGCAAACTAAGAGCCCCTGTCTCTGAAGAGTGCTACTGTGTGGTTTAAACCTCTACATATCTCTGCCTGCGGTGACAGTGGTATAGAGACGATCATTCAGACATCATAGTGTATTGCTGATATCGCCGAGTTTCCTCTTTCTCTGTACAAAAAGATGGTGGTGGCAGTGTGAAGGGTTAATTGCATAATTAACCTGACCCAGTAACAATCGCTCTCAGGCTGTGGTACATAGATTGTGGTCCATTAGCTGGAAAATCTTTTTGCAGGGTGCAGCTGGGCGTGGCATTGTTATGCACGTGGCATTGTTACGCACGTGATATCTATGTTTTAGATTGGCTAGTCCTTCGGTCACAAGTCGGTGAGAAGGGCTGGGGTCTGACGCCACGATCGTCACAGTCGGGCCCTCAGGCCACCCTCATGAAGTCTGTTTCTGATTGTTTGGTCAGAGACGTTCCCACCTGTGGCCTGCTGGAGGTCATTTTGTAGAGCTCTGGCAGTGCTCATCCTGTTCCTCCTTGCACAAAGGAGCAGATATGGTCCTGCTGCTGGGTTAAGGACCTTCTACGGCCCTGTCCAGTTCTCCTAGAGGAACTGCCTGTCTCCTGGAATCTCCTCCATGCTCTTGTCTCCTGGAATCTCCTCCATGCTCCTGTCTCCTGGAATCTCCTCCATGCTCTTGTCTCCTGGAATCTCCTCCATGTTCTTGAGACTGTGCTGGGAGACAAAACAAACCTTCTGGCAATACCACGTATTGATGTGCCATCCTGGAGGAGTTGGACTGCCTGTGTAACCTCTGTAGGGTCCAAGTATGGCCTCATGCTACCAGTAGTGACACTGACCCTAGCCAAATGCAAAACTAGTGAAAAACAGTCAGAAAAGATGAGTAGGGAAAAAAATGTCACCTGTAAAACTATTCCTGTTTTGGGGGTCGTCTAATTGTTTCCCATCCAGTGCCCCTGTTGTTCATTCCATAAACACCAAAACAGCTGAAACTAATGAACAACCCCCTCTGCGACTTACCTGACCAGATCAATATCCCAAGAGGGTCGTGGACAGGATTTTTCATGGTTATAAGCATTTTTACTGAATAAAATGGATTCATCCAGTAGTTTTTGTTGTGATCAGCTGTGATTGGCCCGGTCTGTACATGTGATCTCTGTTGACCAATCACAGCTCGCAGCACAGTTGTAAGCAGGGAATGGCATGAAAGGAAGCCATTCATTGTTTACAACCGTCATGTGATCTGCTGTGATTGGGCAACAGTGACCACATGACACTGGCAGCGGGCCGATGTAGTGACCTGTCATCGGCCGTGTCCCGTGGAAACAGCCAGCGATAGATTTATCTGTAGATTTTTTGTGTGTTTTTCTTTTTCTAATATACATACTGTTTTTTTTGTGTGGGGTTTATTTTCTAATATTTACAGTGAAGGAAATACGTATTTGCTCCCCTGCTGATGTTGAATGAGTGAGAATCTTCTTCCCTCAGCCAGGGCATCGAAAATGGGTCGTGGATGGGTGTTCCAGCATGACAATGACCCAAAACACACGGCCAAGGCAACAAAGGAGGGGCTCAAGAAGAAGCACATTAATGTCCTGGAGTGGCCTAGCCAGTCTCCAGACCTTCATCCGACTGAAAATCTGTGGAGGGAGCTGAAAGTTCGAGTTGCCAAACGTCAGCCACCAAACCTTAATGACTTGGAGAGGATCTGCCAAGAGGAGTGGGCCAAAATCCCTCCTGAGATGTGTGCGAACCTGGGGGCCAACTCCAGGAAACGTCTGACCTCTGTGATTGCCAACAAGGGATTTGCCACCAAGTACTAAGTCATGTTTTGTGAAGGGGATCAAATCCTTATTTCCCTCATGAACATGTAGATCAGTCATCATTTGTTAGACATGCATTTCTGCTGAATTTGTTGTTGCTATTCTGTCTCTCAGTGTTACAATACACCAAACATTCGATTTTTAGACCGATCATTTCTTTGTGAGCGGGCAAACATTCAGCATCAGCGGGGGAGCAAATACGCATTACCTTCACCGTATATACTTTTGTGTTTGTGTGTTTGTTTTTTTGTTAATACCAGGAAAGACAAAAATACGACCGGATCGAACTTGAACTCTTTACTTTTCGCTCCATTTGTTTAAAAAGACAGAATAAAAAAAAAAAATAATAATTTTTTAAGAAATATCAGCAGCGACGATCTCGGTATCACTGGAACCCACCCAGCGATGGAGAAGAGGACCATGCCCAACCGCCAGCCCTTCCCGGTCTGAAGACTTCTAAAAGAAGGAATATGGAGGCCAGAATGTGGAATTGGGCTTTAGGTGTGAAATGTGCCGGGCCTCTGTCACTTGTGTGGCCGTGTTGGAGATGGTTGGTATCGAATTGGACTCAGGACTCTCCTCGGTGACTCATCTGGCGCAATTTCCGTGTGTAACAACTCCCGCACATGGATAAGAACGTTCACTGTTGTGAGCTCTCCTATGGAGAAGAGGTTCTCCTTCCTGAATGAAACGTTTCCCGCACTATGAACAGGAAAGCGGCCTCACCAACGCAGGCTTTCAACATGGCTCTGAAGCCTCTGATACACCTGGAAATTGTAACACCTCCCACACATTAGAGGATAAGAAAGGTCACTTTCTATAACTCTCCTATAACAAAAAAAAAAAAAAAAAAAAAAAAAAAAAAGAAGAGGTTCTCCAAAGAAAAGGCCTCTCACCAACTTGGCTACGAAGGCTGAACTTTCACAAAAAGCATCTGCCGCACTCCAAACAGGAAGGTGGCTTCTTAACAGTGTGAACTTTCTGGCATCTAAAAACATTTGAACATTTCCCGCATGAAAATCCGGCGTGACTTTCTGCACTTTGGACAAAGAAAAGGGCGCTCCTTGGTTACAACTCAGGTGCGATTTCTGTGTGTAACACCTCCCACACATTGGACATGGATAAGGACTTCTGCCTTTGTGAACCTTCAACACTGAACTGCCACCTTCCAAACAGGAATAGGGGCTTCTTAGCAGTGTGAATTCTATCAACTTTAGAACATTTCCCACACTAGCAGCACTATGTGACTTCTCCAGACGCACTCCCTGGTGACTACTCTGCTGCGATTTCTGTGTGTAACACTTCCCGCACATTGGATGTGATACAGACTTTTGCCTGTGAAGAGAAGAGGTTCTTCTTTTTGACTGAAACATTTCCCGCAATCTGAACAGAAACCTGGCCTCTCACCAACGTAGGCCTTTAACATGGCTATGAAGCATCTGCCACACTCCAAACAGAAAAGTGGCTTCTCTAAACAGTTTGAACGCTTTTGAACATTTCCCGCACTATGAGCACGTAGAGACTTTTGACGGGTCTGACTTCTCTCGAATGTTTCCCACACTAGCAGCACGGAGAGACCTTTTCTTTGACTTGTTTTGATGGATCAGAACTTCAGGTTTTGGCTCGAAAGGAGGGACTGAATGGGAGACCGAGCCCCTGTCCTCATGGAGTTTCTTATGTCGGACGAGGCAAAACTGCTGTTTGAAGCGTTTCCCGCATTCTGGGCAGGAAAACGGGCGCTCATTGACATGTCTCTGCTCGTGCAGGGTGAGCATATCCTGCCGTGTAAAACCTTTCCCGCACTGCTTGCAGGAGAAGGGAGTCTCACCGGTGTGAACTCTGAGATGTCTCCGCAGATGAGCTTTCTGGATAAAACGCTGACCGCACTCCTGGCAAGTAAAAGGCCGGTCCCCGCTGTGAATTCTGAGATGTTGGACCAGGACTGATTTTTCCTTGAAGGATTTCCCACACTCCAAACATGGATAGGGCCTGATTTCACTGTGGTGTCTTTGATGTCTAAGAAAATAAGACTTGGAGCTAAAACTTTTCCCGCACACCAGGCATACAAATGGGAGCTGTCCTTCGTGCGACCTCTTATGGACGGCAAAATATGCTTTGGAGGTAAAAGATTTCTCACATTGAGAGCAGGAAAATTTCTTCTCTGGTCTTCGACGTTTAATGTTCTTTGGGTTACTGATGGAAGGCTCCTCGGCAACCGAGAGGTCCTGTGACCTCTTATCATGGCGAACTGGAGGACGCCTAGTTTGAATAATTGGGGTCACTCCTGGGGGGGGTTGGGTTGTTCCATTGTCTTTTGTGTTACAGATTGGATGTGAGGTAAGAGGTCTCTTCGGGGGATTCTGAAGGTCACGACCCAATGCTGGAAAGACAAATTAACCATAGACGTCAGTTAATAATGGGTTCATACAGTTGTGACATGAAGATCAAGACGATCAAAACACCAACACAAGGGATGAGATCAGATAAGGTTTGGATGGAAATGGACCTTTCATATGGTGTCCAGTATCTCCTCCTCATTTTTTGGGAACATGACGTTACATTGAAGAATGGAGATGGACCTTTCATATGGTGTCCAGTATCTTCTCATTTGTTGGGAACATGACAATATATTGAGGAATGGAGATGGACCTTTCATATGGTGTCCAGTATCTCCTCCACATTTGTTGGGAACGTGACGTTATATTGAGGAATGGAGATGGACCTTTCATATGGTGTCCAGTATCTCCTCCTCATTTGTTGGGAACGTGACGTTATATTGAGGAATGGAGATGGATCTTTCATATGGTGTCCAGTATCTCCTCATTTGTTGGGAACGTGACGTTATATTGAGGAATGGAGATGGACCTTTCATATGGTGTCCAGTATCTTCTCATTTGTTGGGAACATGACAATATATTGAGGAATGGAGATGGACATTTCATATGGTGTACAGTATCTCCTCATTTGTTAGGAACATGACGTTATATTGAGGAATGGAGATGGACCTTCCATATGGTGCCCAGCATCTCCTCCTCATTTGTTGGGAACGTGACGTTTTATTGAGGAATGGAGATGGACCTTTCATATGGTGTCCAATATCTCCTCCTCATTTGTTGGGAACGAGACGTTATATTGAGGAATGGAGATGGACCTTTCATATGGTGTCCAGTATCTCCTCATTTGTTGGTAACATGACGTTATATTGAGGAATGGAGATGGACCTTCCATATGGTGTACAGTATCTCCTCCTCATTTGTTGGGAACATGACGTTATATTGAGAAATGGAGATTGACCTTTCATATGGTGATGGGAGATCTAAGTGGAGCCTCCGTACTGCTCTCGCCTTTACCTGTGCTGACATCTAGAGAAGATTCCTCCTTGGTCATTGTCATCAATTCATCTTCATTTAAAGACAGCTGATTATCTGTCACATACATCTCTTCTTCTTTAACCTCAGTTTTTATACCCATTACTTCTTCCCCCTAAAATAAAAGAATTTAAGCATTATTATCCTGAGACTACATAGAAGAATATCATCTACTACAGGTTTGAGTTCAGCATCCTCACCTACCTGATGATGGTGGGGGATGGTGTGATCTTCCTGTGTGGAATCCCGGGAATACAGAGGACGGGGACATCTCTCTGGTGGGTTCCCATTACTGGATCCATCTACCTGATGATGGTGGGGGATGGTGGGACCTTCCTGTGTGGAATCCCGGGAACACAGAGGACGAGGACATCTCTCTGGTGGGTTCCCTTGACTGGATCCATCTACCTGATGATGGTGAGGGATGATGTGATCTTCCTGTGTGGAATCCCGGGAATACAGAGGACGAGGACATCTCTCTGGTGGGTTCCCATGACTGGATCCATCTGTATGAAACACACACACTGACTGAATCCATTGTTTCTATGTGTTAATCAAATGATGGGGGATCTAGGTGGATCCTCCGTACTGCTCTCTCCTTTCCAATAAAGTATCATCTTACCCGGTGATGTGAGGGGCAGCTGATTGTCCATCATGACGTCCTTGTAGAGGTCCTTGTGTCCTTCTAAATACTCCCACTCCTCCATGGAGAAATAGACAGTGACATCCTGACACCTTATAGGAACCTGACACACACAATGATACAGTCACCATCCAGACACATCCCTTGTCTGTTACTGGAGAATGTCCCAGAATTCCTGGCACCGCTCACCTCTCCTGTCAGCAGCTCCATCATCTTCTTGGTGACTTCTAGAACCTTCAGCATGTTGGGTCTCTCAGGTATCAGGTAGTGAGGTGTAGATGTTGTGATGTCAGGTGGTCCATGGAGAAGGCTGCTGCGTGCCCACTGTTCACTAGAAGTCTTCTTCACCACTTCAAAGTCCTAGGTAAAATAAAGAAAATTAAATATCAAGATATTGGATGAAGCGCTCTGCTATAATAATGCTAAAAAACAAAATTTTATACACAAATGTAAAAGTGACTAATACTTAAATAATATATGTGCTAAAATTATATAAAAAAATTTATATAAGACCAGTCTGCCCCCAAGTGGCTAAAACTGGTTATACATGTGCACACACAGCAAAAATAGAAAGTGACCAGGTGCTTGGGTACATAAATAGTGTCTTAATAAATACAAAAGGTTTTAAAATCACAGTGAATACTCATAAAAAGTGCCAAGTGTTTAAATAACAATAAATATACATATAATATAATCATGTGCAAAAAACATGCTATCACTCTTCTGTGAAGAAAATATATATATATAGAAGTGCTTTTTTCATTCAAATAGTGCTCAGACCAAAGTGTCACTCCAGTGAATCAATCCTAAATATCCAGAGTGCCTCCTCACCTCCAACATTCGACCCCTAGAGGTCACAAATCATTTATTTAAATGATGTTCCAAAAAACCGACATCAGGATATAACTTGCCCCACGATTCAAAATCTCAATATATACGATGCCTCAGCCATATGTCCATGGACCATGGAAGATTTAAGCACAAAGAGAGATCTCCATAGCGCAATATGTAGTTTTATTATAAAGAAAAAAGCAGATAGAAAACTCACATGTTCTTAGAAGTGTACAAGCAGTTTCCCCATATCCTATGGGTGTAATAGGAAATCGTGTTTGCCGAAAACCGGAAATACGTCACCGGAAGTGCATCACCGAGCTCCACCCGGAAATGACGTCAATGAGCTCCACGCGTTACACCACTGTCACGTGGCTTCTTCAGGAACCTGAAGAAGCCACGTGACAGTGGTGTAACGCGTGGAGCTCATTTGACGTCATTTCCGGGTGGAGCTCGGTGATGCACTTCCGGTGACGTATTTCCGGTTTTCGGCAAACACGATTTCCTATTACACCCATAGGATATGGGGAAACTGCTTGTACACTTCTAAGAACATGTGAGTTTTCTATCTGCTTTTTTCTTTATAATAAAACTACATATTGCGCTATGGAGATCTCTCTTTGTGCTTAAATCTTCCATGGTCCATGGACATATGGCTGAGGCATCGTATATATTGAGATTTTGAATCGTGGGGCAAGTTATATCCTGATGTCGGTTTTTTGGAACATCATTTAAATAAATGATTTGTGACCTCTAGGGGTCGAATGTTGGAGGTGAGGAGGCACTCTGGATATTTAGGATTGATTCACTGGAGTGACACTTTGGTCTGAGCACTATTTGAATGAAAAAGCACTTCTATATATATATATTTTCTTCACAGAAGAGTGATAGCATGTTTTTTGCACATGATTATATTATATGTATATTTATTGTTATTTAAACACTTGGCACTTTTTATGAGTATTCACTGTGATTTTAAAACCTTTTGTATTTATTAAGACACTATTTATGTACCCAAGCACCTGGTCACTTTCTATTTTTGCTGTGTGTGCACATGTATAACCAGTTTTAGCCACTTGGGGGCAGACTGGTCTTATATAAATTTTTTTATATAATTTTAGCACATATATTATTTAAGTATTAGTCACTTTTACATTTGTGTATAAAATTTTGTTTTTTAGCATTATTATAGCAGAGCGCTTCATCCAATATCTTGATATTTAATTTATGTGTCCCATGGTATAGGGTGTAGATGATAGCAGCTAGCTATATATAAGGAGTCTGTGGAGCGCAGGTGGATATATATTTTTTATTTAAAATAAAGAAAATATCAGTGATCACTACAGACCTCCCAGAATCCTCCTCACCTCTCCGGTCAGGTTTGTGTTTTATTAATAGAGATGAGAGTGATGTCATGTGACCTCCCAGAATCCTCCTCACCTCTCCGGTCAGGTCTGTGTTTTATTAATAGAGATGAGAGTGATGTCATGTGACCTCCCAGAATCCTCCTCACCTCTCCGGTCAGGTCTATGTTTTATTAATAGAGACGGGAGTGATGTCATGTGACCTCTCAGAATCCTCCTCACCTCTCCGGTCAGGTCTATGTTTTATTAATAGAGACGGGAGTGATGTCATGTGACCTCCCCAGAATCCTCCTCACCTCTCCGGTCAGGTCTATGTTTTATTAATAGAGACGGGAGTGATGTCATGTGACCTCCCAGAATCCTCCTCACCTCTCCGGTCAGCAGGTAGATGATCTCCAGGGTGAGGTTTAGTATCCTCTTGGTCAGGTGACTCCGCCTCTCCTGGTCAGGATGACTTCCTGTGTCAGTAATGAGTGTCATTGCTTGCTGCCTGGTGGAGGTGCTGGAAAGGGATAGTCCGGTTCTGCAGGACAAAGCGGTGGTAGAAATGCCCGGAGCTCCACTTTATGGCGTCACCAAATCCATCAGCATGTGTTCACTTCTATATAACAAGGTGCCTGATAACAGAAGAGACCAGAGGTGATGGTGGTGGAAGAGGACGGACGCGACGGTGGAGGAAGAGGACGGACGCGACAATGGAGGGAAGAGAACAGAGGTGACGGTGGAGGAAGAGGACGGGCGTGACGGTGGAGGGAAGAGGACGGGCGTGACGGTGGAGGGAAGAGGACGGAGGTGACGGTGGAGGAAGAGGACGGGCGTGACAATGGAGGAAGAGGACGAACGTGACGGTGGAGGGAGAAGACGAACGGGACGAGGAAGAGGATGGATGGGACGATGAAGAGGTCGGACGGGACGATGGAGGAAGATGACCGTGACGGTGGAGGAAGAGGACAGAAGGGACGATGAAGAGGACAGACATGACGGGGGGGGTTACTGGGTGTAAATAAATAAGATCTTATTACCTCCTCTGCTGCAACTTCCACCAATGTCTCCTCTCTACTTTCTCCCAACTTCTCTCACCCAGAAGTTCCTATTTATACCTGACATCACTTCCTGTCTGGATCTGACATCATTTCCTGTCTACACAAGGCAGTATATGCAGTCGCCCTCTTCTGGTAAGAGAGAAGTGCAGTGTTCTAGAAAAAGATGGATCCATGACAATAGATGTGTGCAGCTAGAAGGAACAATGGAAGTATGAGTATGTGCAACTGGATGGAGCAATGGGAAAAAATATGTTGAACTGGTGAGGGAGTGAAGGGGAGATAAGTACGGAATTGTCAGCTCTCGCCACATGAGGCTGGGCATTGTCATGCACCAGGAGCAACCCAGAACCCCCTGCACCAGGAGGAACCCAGGACCCCCCGCACCAGGAGGAACCTAGGACCCACCGCACCAGGAGGAACCCAAAACCCATCGCACCAGGAGGAACCCAGGACCTCCAGCACCAGGAGGAACCCAGGACCTCCAGCACCAGGAGGAACCCAGGACCCGCTGCACCAGAAGGAACCCAGGACCCCCCGCACCAGGAGGAACCCAGGACCTGCTGCACCAGGAGGAACCTAGGACCCAGGAGGAACCTAGGACCCACCGCACCAGGAGGAACCCAGGACCTCCTGCACCAGGAGGAACCCAGGACCCACCGCACCAGGAGGAGTCCAGGACCCACTGCACCAGGAGGAACCCAGGACCCATCGCCCCTATAGGAACCCAGGACCCACTGCACCAGTGTAGGGTCTGACAATGGGTCCAAGGATTTCATTCCCATACCTATTGGCAGTCAGGGTGCCATTGTCTAGCCTGTAGAGGTCTCTGCGTCTCTCCATGGATATGCCCCCCCCCAGACCATCACTGACCCACCACCAGATCGGTCATGCTGAACCATGTTACAGGCAGCAGAACGTTCTCCACGGCTTCTCCAGACTCTTTCACATCTGTCACATGTGCTCAGGGTGAACCTGCTCTCATCTGTGAAAAGTACAGGGTGCCAGTGGTAGACCTGCCAATTCTGGGGTTCAATGGCAAATGCCAATCCAGCTCTATGGTGTCGGGCAGTGAGTACAGGGCCCACTAGAGGACGTCGGGCCTCAGACCACCCTCATGAAGTCTGTTTCTGATTGTTTGGTCAGAGACATTCCCACCAGTGGCCTGCTGGAGGTCATTTTGTAGGGCTCTGGCAGTGCTCATCCTGTTCCTCCTTGCACAAAGGAGCAGAGACCGGTCCTGCTGATGGTTTAAGGACCTTCTATGGCCCTGTCCAGCTCTCCTAGAGGAACTGTCTGTCTCCGGGAATCTCCTCCATGCTCTTGTCTCCTGGAATCTCCTCCATGCTCTTGAGACTGTGCTGGGAGACACAACAAACCTTCTGGCAATGGCACGTATTGATGTGCCATCCTGGAGGAGTTGGACTACCTGTGCAACCTCTGTAGGGTCCAGGTATGGTCTCATGCTACCAGTAGTGACACCGACCCTAGCCAAATGCAAAACGAGTGAAAAACAGTCAGAAAAGATGAGGGAAAAAATGTTAGTGGCCTCCACCTGTAAAACCATTCCTGTTTTGGGGGTGTCTCATTGTTGACCATCTAGTGCATCTGTTGTTAATTTCATGAACACCAAAGCAGCCGAAACTGATGAACAACCCCCTCTGTGACTTACCTGACCAGATCCATATCCTGGGAGCGTCATGGACTTCATGCTAGACTCGGATTACAAAGTCTTCCTTTCATTTTTTTGAGCCGTGTATTTGAAAACCGATCAATCCT